AAATCCAAGATAAAATCCCATATCCGGAAATAGTTGCACCTCCCCTACCGTCTTATCGCAGTGCTGTATCGCGCTGTAGTCCGTTTCATATCGCTCCCTGTATCGTGTCGCTGTGTACGTACACTCTGCACGTCCTATGGTTCTTTCATTTAATCGAATATCTACCCTAACACTACCCATTATTAAACTACTGTAACATATACCATACTAACACGTAGGCTTTCGCGACCAATATCATCCATAAAATAGTTTTTTTTCGGGTTGGATCGCGTAAATATGTGTCGTTAAACCTGCCGCCACCCGACAGCTAATTAGTAAGGTTTAGCACGTAAACAGAACATGCCAATGTTGTGTGTCCAATTGTTTATGAATACCCCGAAGCATCGAAAACAAGCGAGTAGGTAATGCTGTAGAAGGACAAGAGACGATGTGTCAGGGAGAGTAGACTCAGGGTAACGATGTCACAGCGTGACACTCAGAGTGCTCTTCTACTGCAGGACACCGACACCGCCACCGCCGCCTTGGGGAATACGCGGCCCTGCCTGACGCCTCGCTCGGCGGGGTTCATCCGCAACCTCGCCACCCTGCACCAATTGCGCTTGCGTAACTAGTGCTAACATTTACGCATCCAGTACTGTATAGAATTTTTTTAAAACATGATTTATGGAAGCATTTCCATAAAGTTGGTTCTTCAGTAAACCCGGGGACTGCCTGTAATCTTCATCTAAATGCATGTTTCTAAATGTGGAGAGAAAAACCGTGAAGCACCGTGTGACCCCCTTACCCCCCCGTTAAGCACCGTGACCCCCTCCTTTGGCGCCTTGCGCCACTCGGCGTGAGGAGGGAATGGCCGATGAGAGAGCAGTTTCTGTGCCTCTCGAAAACGGCCCGGCGAAGAGCGGATGAAACGCACGCGACTGCGCCCCCACCAAGTGCAGTGTTACGCATTAACGGGGTTTCGTGTCCAAGGTGATTTTGTTGAACTCGGCGAGAACTCAAGTTAACTCAAGTTAACCGGATCGGCCCCGTTTGCGAGAGTGACCAGCGTCACCAAATTGACACGTGCAAAGCAAACAAAGACACCATGTGCAGCTATGAAGCGAATAGGAATGAGAACACAAACCACGAGAATTCTAATATATTGCACAATCGTAAATCAGTGTTAAATAATATTGCTGACCCTTTGGTCTGTTTGCGCATAGTCACTTTAAGATGTTTTCTTAGTTCATGGCTCACAGGGCTTTTCCAAATAAATGAAACTGAAACTGAAAACTGAAATCAGGATGCAAGAAACGCGGATACACCAGGGTTACTCAAACTCCAGTCCTCGCCACCCACCAATCTACTCGTCCACTCGCTCGACGTAGAACGTGCCTGACCATTGCTGAACACGTCGGCCAAGACACGCTGAGTCGCGAAGGCTGTCTGCGGCATGGGGGGTGCAATGTAAATACGGCACAAGTGAAAAGCAGCGACAACAAAAAATAGCGCAAGAAATCATTCATCGAGGGGTTCGGGTTGATCATCTCTTTCGTTCAGATTTGTGTTTCACTGTTAGCAAGAGCACGTGTTACTGTTGGCACCGTACTTAGAATTGTTCATACAGTGTTGTTTCATCGTGCCATTTTAGTTTTACCCGTGCCATTTTCTACCTCCGATCGTTACACACGTGGAACAACGTGGGCACACACGCGCATCCGCGCACTGAGATCGCGATCTCAATTTGAATCGGCTCTGAACGCAGGCAGCGTGAGTTGGCTTGCGCGTCACGAAGGGAGTTGTTTAACCATCATCGGGCACGTGTAGCGGGGAACGAGTTGATGAGTAAATCGGTAAACGCGGAAAGACATCGCCAGGACTGGATTTCGGGAAGCCTTGGAGCGCAGCCTCTCAGCTCTGTTATCGCACATAACCAATGTGACCAGCATCCCACCATTCAGCAGGATTCCACCATCTGCCTTTCGGCCTTCACCTTGGTGAATTTTGCTGTCACAAAAGCTTCAAATCAAGATTGAATTTTTGCTAAGTTTAATGTTTTATGTTTTGAAATGTTAGGAATGTTTTTTTTAAGTAAGTGTTTTTATTTTAAATGACAAACGTGTGCGTCTTTTGGTTTTATGTTGATCTTATTGTATTCGATTTCAGCTTAAGTTTACATATCTACTTACTGTGGTGCCTACACTGAGAGTGTTTAAATGTTCAAGGATTTTTGTTCTTTATTGAGTAATCCGATAGAAATAAATATTTGGAAGTTTTGTTTAGGCTTTTTTGTCTTTTTTTTCGGTTTTGTCGCAGTGGTTCCCCTTTTGTGGGTAACTTTAAAACCAACAATCGGAGATGAACATTCCATTGAGACTCAACTTTATCTCTCAATAGACACACTGGGTACAAGTGCCAGAGGAAAAAAATACATGAAGATGATTAATTTCAGACAGAAGGCCGTGTGGGTGCTGGATTGTGTAATAAATCTTTTAATAATATTTTTACGTTGGGAAGGATATTTGAATGAAAACTATTGTCTCGTTAATTACAGTTATTTTGATGGCATCAGTGAAGACGAGAGGTCTTTAGGAACTACTGATATTTTTTTAAATCCTTTATATAAAGTTCACTTGCTTGCTTGCGTGCTTACGACCGTGCAAATTTTTGGGTCGTTTTTTAACCCACTTCTCGTGATCCAATCGAGCTGACATTTTGCACACAGACTCATTGTGCGTGACAATTTATTTTCGTGAAAATTTTTTCCAAAATTTTACACTTTTAGGAAAAATTTTACATTTAATTACCAATTGCTTAATGGTGGCAGGCAATCATCTGACCCATAGCTGGCAGCCATCTCAAGCCAGAGGACGAGAGGACTCTAGCCGCCACGCATATAAAGGATTTATAGTGAAAAACTTTGTTTTTACGGGTTAATTTTTTTCAGACTGTACACAATGGGCTGAGTGCACTTTGTACACGTCTCCCTGTGTCGTGTGAAACGTGTAGGGCCTTTTTCGGCCTGCACTATTGTTCTCCTGTGATGGTGGGGGTTTTTATTGTCATTTACAGATTTGATGAACGTTATCAGAAACAGAGAAAAACGAAATACTATCCACTGCCAATTAACAATACTTTACAACGTAAACGTAATGCCCATGAAAATAATCCCTAAATGTCTTATGCGCATTGAAGTGCAACGAAATATTGAATAGCGTCAGAACAGCAGCAATAGTTGTCGATAGTCGTCACCTTATCAGTTTACAGAGCAATTACTCTCACACTGTTGCTGTTGTGATTGTATCCCCCCCAAACCCCCCACCGTGTTATGCAATGTGTAACAATGCTGCATTTGCTTAATCTGTACGCTTGTTCTCAGAGTGGATTAATTATTAGTCCAAAGTCCACAATCGTGGCTGATCATTAACATTCATTAACGGTTCGTACCAACCGCCTCTCATTTCTTAGGTCACCATGGCATTCACGGCCAACTGCTTCTGCTGAACGTTGTGAAAATTGCTTTCTGTAATAGGTTTGTTTTTGATCAAATTTTTGAAACCTTACGAGGGAACGGTGGCACAGCGGTTCGTGGTCTTCTTGGTGAACATTGTGAACTGATTTCGATTGAAAGCTTTCGTGACTGCAGGGATTCATATTCTTGGTTCTTTCGGTAAAGTCACATAGAAGGGAAATAATAAAATAATGCAAATAAACCAATACAATTCTCACGACGTTTCCATTGCAACACGAGCAATCGTCATCAGGTGTGAAACCCACATGATTGCTCGTGTTGCAATCGGAACGTCGTGAGAATTTACTAGTTAAATTTTTATTATTTTATTATTTCCCTTCTACGTGACTTTACCGAAAGAACCAAGAACATTGTGAACCGAGTTGTATTCTCGGCCACAACTGGTGTCGATGGCGAGTGATCTGTGAACCTGTCCGGGGGCCAATCCCCTTCATACACCCGCACTGATCAGTATGGTGATGTATAGTCAAACAATGACTATGTGGGGTGGATTGTCAAAGCGCTGTAAAATTAAAATAACCTTTCAATAATGACAGAAGTTGCACCCTTGGCTTAATAACAATCTATCTTGTGTGGCCAGTTTCCTTCTCCGAGCATAATTTCAGTGCTATAATATAAACTTAATTCTCCACGCAAATGAGATCTATATGGATGTAGGCAACATGTTTTTGATGATCGTCTGTCCACTTCTGGATGAAAGTGTCCCCTGCCATCAGCATTCCTCATGCTCGTGTGATACCGCAAGTCCATCTGAGGTCCATGAACTAAGCTTATCGCCTCCCCCTCTGGATTGTTCTTTCCTTTGGCTGGCATTCTGCCACTAGTCTCGTCCTTAAGCTATCTTCCCTGCCAGCAATGAAAATAGATTTTTTTCTTGCCCAAGCCGAATTTTTTTCCCGGTCAACGTCCCCCTGATCCATGCGTTGCTGAATGTACTGGAATGTCTCTGAACGCATCGTTCCGTGTTAACGTAACGACCGAGCAGAAATCCCGTGATGCCGTGAGCAGCCATCACCTGCGGCCATTGCCCCCCCCCCCCCCCACCTTTCTCCTGTTCGTTTGCACTTTTTTGTTGTGTTCCGAAATATTTTAGGTGAGGGGGAAACGAACTTAGTTGTGAAGGGTGCAAAGCTCTGCTGCCAGACATCTCAATAAAATGTTTGGAAGATGTTTCCACAATGGTCCCTCATTTAGAATGTATTTTCGGCATGTTCATTTAAAACGATAAATATTCTGGAGGATGTTCACGCCCATTGGTGACATATCTTCTCCTTACGGAAGAACGCATTTACCCATGGGGATTTATCTCCTTCAAGAATAATATATTTTAAAAAAGGGTTGTTTTGACAATAGTTTTTTGCATTTGACACCCAATATATTGATCTGTCGCCTGCCTTCCGTACCTAACAGACAGTGGGCCGTTACAGAATGCCCTATTGAGTTCTAAATTAAGTTTTAACGCATTATGTGTTTGTGTTCTCGCTGCCAGCCGTACCATATCAATGTCGGGTACCTGCCGGACAACGACCCGACTCACGGCAGCGACGACCCCAGGCACGGTCGCGGTGACCGCCGGGAGCCGCGGCGGGGCGAACACCGAGATCCACCGCGGGACGACTACCGGGACCCGCCTCGCGGAAACAACCGAGACACCCGTCGGGACAACTACCGGGACCCCCCGCGCAGAAACAATCGGGAGGATCGACGGGACGACTACCGGGACCCCCCGCGCAGAAACGACCGACAGGACGACTACCAGGACCCCCCGCGCAGAAACAATCGGGACGATCGTCGGGACGACTACAGAGAGCCGCCACGCGGCGACACTCGGGGAGGCCGACGGGACGACTACAGAGAGCCGCCACGGGGCGACTATCGAGACCCTTCCCGAGCGGACAACTGGGATGCGCGACGGGGCGACGTCGGTGATCCGCCGCCTCAATACGAAGCGGCCCCACAGAGCAACGTGCGAGCAGTGCCCCACGCGAGTGCCGCCAACGGGAGTGCCCCCCGCACGAGTGCCCCCCGCACGGGTGCCCCCCACACGAGTGCCCCCCACACGAGTGCCCCCCACGTGAACGTCGCGGTCCCGGCGCCGTACGTCAACCAGCCGCCGCCGCTGAACGCTGCCAAGAAGGAGCAGAGTGAGTTGTGCTCCATCGCGATGGGGACGAGGGCTCCACAGTGAGACGTCGTCCCAGCCAGGGGGCGTGCGTGACTACTTGGAGTACTTTTACCACTCAGGAATGAAAGCTGTCTGATTGGATTTGGGTTACCGGTTTTAACCGGTTAAGATAAATTAACATCCCAATCTGTGCTGTCGGCTGCTGTTTTGTTAGCTGTATGTTACGATGAAGTAAAAGAATGAACGTTGATACGGCACTATTTAATGCTAACTGAATCATCTGGGTATTATCCACAGCACGAAAGACTGTATTAACTGGGTATGCATTAAATGCTTTGGAGGGATTGATAACACTTTTATCCAGATGACACTGTGGAGATTGAGCGATGAAATGTGCTCATGAGAAAAGCTAAATGGCTGTTTTCATCATGAGTCCATCAGGCATTGCAGAAACTTAGTGTGGCCTTTATCCAGCCGTGGATAGATCAGATCATGGCTGTTGATGACCATGAATGGGGTGTTGTGAATATGAATAGACAGCGCTGTGTATGCGTTTCTCCGCGCATAGTTAATTAAAAGTGCAATTCTAAACAATTTCTGACGGTATACTTTGGGGGAAACCCCCATCAAACAGCCATATACATTTAACATTTTACCGCATCCTGTTTTAAAATATAAAATGTTATAACCCATGGGGAATTCGCAAAGTGAACTCTGCTGTGTTTGCAGTAGTAAAGCATTTTTCACTGCTGCTACAGTCTGAGACAACATGACTAAATTATTCAGGTCGAACAACTTTACTTATGTAACTTACGGATTTTAATTGTCACCGTTAGGAAACAGCGAAACCGTAGCTATTTAAAGCTTAATCCCTGGGGAGTAGGGGGGGTTGGATGTTGCTATTAATAGAAGCGGCTCCAGCAAAGCGTTTTTGAGCAGTTGGGAAATACAGTACAGTACAACTCTTTATTGTCTCTTTGATAGAGGGCCGGGGTTGGGACCATGTAATTCACAGAAGCAGAATTGTGGATAATGGGGTGGATTGAACCCCCGAGTGGGAACTCTGACGGTTGAGCACTGTCCTCCATCGTCGCCCAGATAATCGGTTACGACGATGCGACCATAGCGAGCGTGATCCGTTAGTCCGCGCATCCGCATTGGCACGTGACTCCCAGTGTGGCGTGATTGAAACACCACCGCGTGCAGCATCACAATAGTTTGATTCCCGGGGGAACATTTGTAGCTCGTTTGCGTTTTTTACACTTTTAGTTTTTTTTTGGTTCACAGAGTTAGTGCGTTCGCCACTTGTCGCAGAGGTTTTGCGGTTTGAATTAAAGCGGCCGCCCTGATTAATCCTGCGGCTGTATTATCTGTAGAAAATAGTATGTGCCGTCTGCTTCATTGGATGTTAAAGATCCTGTGAAGTGATTCGCAAGAGTAGGCCGTTGCGTGCCAATGTCGTGGTGTAAATTCTCAAAGTTAAAAAAATTATGCACAAATCAACATCGCTCCCAACTTCAAACATTTAAAAAGTCCCGAGATTTGGTGAGGCTTTCCAGGATGGAACAACAAGCACGTCGTGTTGTTCTCGGCGTTGCCTGTGTAAACGTTGGAACGTGTGTGCACGTGTGGACGCATGTAGGCAGTTGCTGCCTGACTCGACGGACGCTGATCATTATCGCCATCGTCGCCACGGTGTTGATCATCGCAGGAGTTGCCGCGGCCGTGGCACTCATACGTACGTATGCGCTCGCAAACCATGGGTTCACGCGCACGCCAGGTTAACGCGCGTAGCGCACGTGAAATGGGGCTATAACACAACTGAGAAGAAGCGTAGGGATGCGTAGTACCGGCTCGCTGCACTGCACGTTAATCACAAGCCGTACGACTCCTGGCCGGGAGAATAGGCGGGAGAGGGGAGGCTCGTGGGGACGAGTCTCGTGACATGGGTCGGCTAAAGGAGTAAAAATGGTCAACGTGCTTTCGAGATCATAAATCAGAGGTAAGAGTTAAGTTGCGTTATTTATTAATTTCAATATCCCTGATTCATATTGTTATTGCTACTTAAACCTGACACTTTATTGTCCTTCCCTGCACCTCCTATTTACACGGCTCGCTACGTATGGTGTGAGAGAAGTTCAACATACACAGTTATTTAAATTGTTCAGCCAATATGGGCCTTTAAGGTGTATCTGAACTCTACTTCAATAGTTGGTGCGAGTAAATCTGACACCACACACACAAACACAACTCTCGCCCACGGAGACGAAGGCACTCGTGAGCTTGTACAGACAGGGATGAGGCCGTAGGCACTCGAACCGTCGTGTGAATCCAACTGTGTGGAGTGATGAGTGGTTGTCCGCTCCGATGTGTGGCTCTTCTCCAGACACTACGCTTCTTCCCAAACGTACATTGATGGCATCGACCCAATAACCCACAAATGCAGGACGCTCCTGAAAAAGCTTTTGAGACTCCAGAGTCGAAGGCGTTGATATGATGATTATTTGCTGTTGTGTGTGTGTGCATGAACTCTCTGCATACGATCAGGCAGTGTGGTTCTGCGCGTTGATATGATGATTATTTGCTGTTGTGTGTGTGTGTGCATGAACTCTCTGCATACGATCAGGCAGTGTGGTTCTGCTAGCTCTTTGGGGGTTCTAAGCAAAACATTATTTTTGGGCATCGCATGACTCCAAATGTTGTCTTCTGGATAAGCGGCGTAACAAGGTAATGCGCCAATTACAATGATAATTATTTTAGAACTGCTATTAAACATTGTAATTGGTGCACCCTTGTTATTTTATGAACCTGAGCTACTGGGCTGGCGGGGGGGGGGTGTCCCAAGCTCTGGCTTGCTCTTGTTTTAGCTGAGCCTCTCCACTGTACAGGTCTCACTTCCTTGCAAGAATAAGAGAAAACAATAAATGATCTCTTGCCCGAGGTTAAACTACGGTTCCTGACACGATCCCAAGACAACTGCACGGGCATGCCAGGCGAGTCTTGTGGCGAGACCACCTTCGGCCAAAGCCGCCATGTCCTCTGCTTGTTTTTTTTTATTATTATTACCCTACCCTAGAATGCAGGAACAAGATCTGCACGTGCAGAGTAACTAAATTTGCTTGGCGATTTCAAGCGCAGTTTGTGTTTACACGCGGACCCAGGGGGTTCTCCTCTTCGCCGCGTCATGCTTGCAGGGAGAACTTGTTTTTTTGCGTAAGAATGTGGCATTGGACAAAGTTGCATGGGCATGGTGCTCAGGGGCGACCCTTCCCATATCGGCGAACGAGGCGCTTGCTGAGGTCGCCAAGATTCAGTGGGGCGCCAAATTCGAGGGGGAAAAAATACTAATTAAAAACATAAAATAACGAAGATGTAATTTTTTTCTATTCCCGTACAGAGGGAATATGAATTATAATTACCGGTAATTTCTCAACATTTCTGAGAATTTATTAATGCACAAATAAATACCGTAATTCGAACTGAAATATATTGTCTAGCTAATCGTTTACAAATCTCTTCTGAAAATGTAGTGTCTCTTTTATCTGTTCTCAGAAACATTGGTTGTACGGACGGATGGACAAACCGAATAATTATGCCTCGGTTTTAAAAAACAAAAAATGATAAAAAAAAAAACATTAAATGTAAAATAGGGGCAAAATGTTTCCCAGTTTACCAAAAAACTTCAGCCTAGATCTGCCCTTGGGTTTTGGGGGCATGTATTGCATGGTTCGCCCCGAGGGCCCCATTTGCCGGCAGCTAGTCAAGGGCCACCCCTGATGGTGCTCACCCTGAAACACATTGTGGCACCCACTTTGCGTGGCTTTTCACCTGTAATAAGCATGCTCAAGCAGAGAGTTCGTTAGTTTCAGACACGTCTTGAGTTGCAGCTGTATTTCGATGCTACATCAACTTGTGTTGTAGTATGACCAGGTAAAAGGCATAGTTATGCAGTGTACAGGCAGTGCAACTGCACCTGGGCCAACGGACCGCAGCAGCCGAGGCGCCGGGCATCGAAGGAGCAGGGAGATTTTTAAAGGGGGCCCTCATTTCATTGCTAGCACCGGAGCCCATGTTGGCTAGGCTACGTCACAATCACCGGGCTAAACAACGTGTGTGTTTCCATGTGTGCAGTGCTGAAGGATCCGTGTCAGTCCGACTCTGTTCGTTGTAATGGAGTCAGAGACTGCGTCAACGGCACAGACGAGCACGGGTGCGGTAAGGAACAAACGGCGCACGGCGCTACACCGAGCGCACACACTGGTGCGGTGTGGAAACACCAGCAATGGGATACAAAAGCGGTCCGGCGTGGTTCTGGCCACGCAACCCACTCGTGAGCTTTGCCAGCCTTCGTAGGTGCCCGCTACCAGCACTTGCCCCAACAACCTGCACAGGCTACATAGGGATCTTTGTCTTTGTGTGGAGAGCAGCACGCAGCAGTGGAGATCAAGCGTACCTGCAGGTGTGGAACACGGCAGCCGGCGTGTTTGCCATGGTGTGTGTCGAGAACTTCACAAATGTCTACGCCGAGCAGGCCTGCGCGCTCATGGGATACGACAGGTGACGCTCAACGCAGGATCTCGCGCACACCCACGCTGCCCTTCAACCCACAGCGCGAGCGGGTACCGCACCACACTTGAACGCAGCGCTATCTTGCAGCACCGCAGCAGGAGCTCACGGGGCTGGTACGGGGAAAGAACACCGCGATAGTGTTGCGGAGCCACATTCGATGGCTTTGGAATCATTATTCGCTGTTATTTGGAGACTTTCTGCCATTCTCGTGAAGCGTGCCATGTTGTGTGATGGTTTTTAATTGTTTTTGTGCGTGTGGTTGTAGCAGCGGTTCTGTCACGTGGAGTTCGATCGCACCTTCGGCGGGGGCTGTCGTCGCCGTGAGCACCGACGCTGCTGACACTGCCAACCTACAGCTCGCCTACGCCCCAAGGTCAGCTCTACGGCGCGACTTGCACACACCCCGCTTCTTCTTGGTTCTTTCGGTAAAGTCACGTATAAGGGAAATAATAAAATAATAAAAATAAAACTATAATAAAATAAGTCTCACGACGTTTCGGCCACAACGCAAGCAGCCGTCCTCAGGTGAAGAACAGGTCTGTCGGGAAGACAGTGTCTGCGATAATGTTCAGACGCTGTCTTCCCGACAGACCTGTTCTTCACCTGAGGGACGGCTGCTTGCGTTGTGGCCGAAACGTCGTGAGAATTAGTTAATTATTGTTTTATTTTTATTATTTTATTATTTCCCTTCTACGTGACTTTACCGAAAGAACCAAGAAGATGAATCCCTGCAGTCACGAAAGCTTTAAATCGAAATTTACCCCGCTTCTTCTTCTATGCCTCGTTGCTCGTGACCGTGGGGGCGCTCCTGGCCGAGCCGCCCCAGCGTGGCGTTGCTTCGTGAAAGTTTCTTCCATTGTCGTCTTCTTCACTGATCTGTCTTCACTGCTTCCTGCTCTGGTCTCTAAACTCGCCGTCCCAGCTGATACGCGGTCGACCACGGTCTCTTGAGCCATCTATCTACTCGTCATTCCAACACTGTGCATGCTTTTAGCCTTCGTGGGCTTCTGTATATGTCCATAATGTTGGAGCTTCAGTCTTTGTTGGATTTATAAGATTCTTGTTTAAAGTTCTGGAAGTACCCGATACCACCACGTGATAGGTGTTCTTCAAGTGATTGATGTAACAAAAAGGCCCTTGAGGTGGCCAGGTTCATAGAACAGTTCATAAACCACTGCATTACTGCTCCACCCATTCTATTTAAGGGTTATAGTGAATTAAATGTTTCTTGATAATGTGACGTGGCCATAATTACACCGTGATTAATGTATCCCCTCGCTCTTTCCACAGCAATTGCCCGGGTAATGTCGTCAGCATTTCGTGCCTAGGTGAGTTCACGTTGCATGTTAAATGCAGCGTTTGCATGGTCTTTGGTTGCGTGGAAGTGGAGAAGCATGGGGTGTATATGTTTTGTGTGTGTATATATATAGAGGTTTTTTTTTCTATCATTAAATTGACTTGCCGAAGACTGGTACCAGCAGTGTCAAATTTGGGCTCTTTGGAGTAGCGACACCACTACAGGAGCAACTATATCAAATAATACGGACGAAACGTCAAATATCTTAGAAGCACACATGACGGTAAAATGAAAAAAAAGAGTTAAAATCTGATAAAATCACAACGCACTATCTGGCTGGACATATTCCACCCTTGCTTATAAGCCTGTGTTTGTGGTGAACTTTGTCGTGTGTTTGCATGTGGCGTTTGCGTTGCCGTGTGTCACTGCTCGTGCACCGTGGGGTCGTGGCTTTCACACAGCGTGCCCGCACGCGGCATGAATGCGCGGTGTGTCTGCACGCCCGCGCCGTGCGCCTTGGAGGCCGCGTACGGTGCATTCCGCTGTCCACACGCAATGCTCCCCATCGCTCAGGCCACCTGTGGCGGGGTTCTTCTGTTTGACGGACCCGTAAAGGCCTCTTGGCAGTGGCGTGCCGGGGGATATGGCCGGCTGAGACTTAAAGCGACAGATTAGTGAGATGCAAGAGCGATAAACAAATTTCAAGACAACTTTAGACAAAAGTTGGGGACGACAGTGAGGTGAAAGCAAGACCGACGAGAGAGAACAAGTATAACCCGTAAAAACTAAGTTTTTCACTATAAATCCTTTATATGCGTGGCGGCTAGAGTCCTCTCGTCCTCTGGCTTGAGATGGCTGCCACCTATGGGTCAGATGATTGTCTGCAGTATTAAACAATTGGTAATTAAATATTTAATTTGTTTTCCCTAAACAGTGTAAAATTTTGGAAAAAAAATTTCACAAACATTAATTGTCTCGCACAACGAGTCTGTGTGCAAAATGTCAGCTCGATTGGATCACAGGAAGTGGGTTAAAAAACGACCGAAAGGTTTGCACGGTCGTAAGCAAGCAAGCACGCAAGCAAGCAAGCGAACTTAATATAAAGGATTTAAAAAGAGAGACTGTGTCTAGTCTGCTCTGGTGCGTTGCTGCATGCTCTCGTGTGGTGTGTGCGCGCGCCTGTGCTCAGCGTGTGGGTCCAGCACCAAGAGCACCTCGCGCATCGTCGGGGGGCAAGCTGCACAGTTGGGCTCGTGGCCGTGGCAAGTCTCGCTGCAATTCAACGGCCATCACACGTGTGGCGGGACGCTTCTGACCCCCACGTGGGTGCTCTCTGCCGCCCACTGCTTTCAGGGGTGAGTGTTCGTCCGGCACTGTGCTACACCGCGATGTGACCTTGCGATAAGTCACATGATATACGACCCACATTAATAACATTTGTCCGTTTTGCAAGATATCGCCCACGGGGCGATTGTCTGGCGATTGTCTCGTCACTCGTTTGAATTATCGAAAGTGTGTGTTTAATCCTCCTGACGAAAGGTTCATGAAACGGTAAAGACAATCTTTAAAGTTATAAATAAATACGTATTACCCGTGAAATTTGTGCCTTACAAAACTTGTTTGGAGTAATTCAATGTGATGGTAATTATGACATAATTTTTGTATTGGGTTTGATAAAAAAAATCCTGGTGTTGCTAGCAGCGCGTGCATTGTAAGTGCTGAAGATTGTGACGTTATGAAGGTTGAGAGACTTACAGCCGCAGGCTTATGCTGAGCTAGCTGCAGTGTAGAAGCTGATGAGCAATAATTATTTGCACTGGAAGTACACCACTGAACCAAATAAACACGCTTAAGTCAACCCAAGTTCCAACTTGCAGCATGCACCACGACACGAACTTGTCTTGTTTTTTTGCTTGTCATTTCCCCCAGTTGTATCCACCCCCCCCCCTCCCTCTTGTGTCGAGGGGGAACTCCGAGAAGTAAATGTCATGCCCCGTGTCCGGGACACTCTTGAAGGCCGCCGTAGGCTCGGGTAGCTGGTGCGATAGCAACGAAGCAATCGTTTGCTCGTCCAGTACGCAGGGCACTAAGGCAGTCCCGTTTAATCTAATTTATTTATTATATTACGCGCCATTATTACATGTGTTTAATATGTAACATAAATGACTGCACTGGCAATGGTGTACAAGCACAGGCCAAAAAAAACATCACCGCCTGTAGTTTTTAGCAAAGCTTTGCAGTGTTTTGCTGCCAGGAATGTGGATGCTCTGGTGAGTTGTATGGAATACAGGCGAGGGTTTGTTCATACGGCCCTAATTGTGTTAAAAGACGGGAGGGATGTGAGATGCCATATTGGAGGAGGGGGATCGGGTATGGTCGGTTCTGGCTCAAGATGTTATCGGCCTCTCTGAGGTAAAGCGCGTGCCAAGTCTTCGGAGTGTGAAGGATTGAGGCATTCATGAGCTGGACAGTGCGGTGTGTTCAGAGAAGGCTGGGAGTGGCAGGCTGACGCTGCTAAACTTGAGACTGCACCACTGGCCCGTCTACCTGCATTCCTGCAGATGCACTGTGTGCGGACGATAATCATGGTTACCGCACTAGGGAGGTGTGCATGTTTGACCAGCGTCCGTAGCCATACATGTGTGTATGTTGAACTTTTTTCACACTGTACGTATCCAACCATGCTAAGTGGAGGTGGAGAAGGACAACACATTAAGCACAATAAGAAATTCTAAATAAAAGTGTGTACGTGACAAAAAATATAACAATGACATTGCAAGTTTAACAGTAACATACAGAACCTCTAAAATGGCGAATTAACCCCATTACATTACTTCTCCATCATGTGCCATACGACAGCCTAATAAGAGCAGCAATGTACATGTGCGCACGCATTACGTACACGCGCGCGCACGCATTACGTACACGCGCGCACGCATTACGTACACGCGCGCACGCATTACGTACACACACACGCGCATTACGTACACACGCGCGCACGCATTACGTACACACGCGCGCGCATTACATACACCCGCGCGCACGCATTACGTACACACACACACACGCGCACGCGACACAAACATTGCCGTCCGTTCACATTGCACGCACACGTCCCGCGCGGTCGGCACGACGCGCTCGCGACCAGACGAGGTCGTTCCCTCCACTGGGGGGGTGGGCGGTGCACGGGCGACAAAGTTTGGTGCCATGCTCGTTGGGCCGGGAGAACCCACTCCGATTAATTACCTCGGACCCGACATGTGGAACGTAACGTGAAATATGCATTGCGCATCAAAAGAACGCAAGAAAGGTCGCATCTTTCTCGTTCGGTTGTTGACGGCACGTTGATTTTGGTGTCGCGTCGAAGCATTTCGTGAAGTCCCAGTGAAATTCCCTGCTCCAGGTTGGGGATCCATATCCGAGAGGAGGGTGACCTCACCTCGAACTTCGCAGGCAGTTCATCAGCATGAATTCAAGCTAACCACACTGCTGATTGAACACTGTCAAAACGGCTCAAGAGTTTGCTGGTCTTGAAGAAATTGTGCTGAAGTTATGCACCCCCAGAAGGTTGTGGGGCCGATCTTGAGAGGGTGAACCCTTTCTGTGTAGTAATCAGCACGGTTGGTAGAAAGTACGTGAAAGTAACGAACAAAGGGACTTTTGTTTGAAGCAAATCTTTGTTTGCGGATAAAAAAGAAATTTGCAGCCATTTGTGAATTTACTCATGTATGCAACTCTCAACATGTTTTAATCATTGTGTCGTTTGACCATACTTCACCATGCTGAACTGGACGGTGCACATTGGTGATGGGTGGAGGCCCAGCGCTGGTTAAGACATCACTCGCCACTGATATTTGTCGTGGCTCGGAATTGAACTGAGGTTGCTGAGTTTCTTGCGAAGTTCCATGAACACTGCTCCTCCACCTCAGGAGTTCATGGAACGTTAATACAGCCTCCGAAACGTCGTGATTTTTATTTTATTTTACTTTTTAATGTTTTTTACCTACGTGACTTTACCGAAAAAAACCTAAGAATATTTTTAATACAGCCTCCAAAGAGACCTGGGGTCACAATCCAGCATAGATACAAATGAATTCCATCATGTGCTGGGCATCCATATTCTTACAAATAATAATTGTATAATTACATGCGGGGTCTCCTCTTCTTCCCCTATGGATAGGGGGGGGGGGGGGAAGCCCCTACAATTTTATCGATGTGAAAAAAATTCTCAGCTGGGCACTCATAAAAATAATTATTTTCATGCATCCATTGCTCTGTTCATGCAAGCGCTAGTTGGAAGCTTGATGTTTGTGTGTCTGGTGCGGTGCGCTGCAGGGATATGGCGACCAGCGACAGCTGGCAGGCGAACTTGGGCATCATCATTCAGCCCGGCTCAAACACTCACAGCATCTCCAAAATCATCACCAATGCGCAATACGTGGACAACACCCACAACGACTACGACATCGCCCTCGTGAAGCTCCGCAGCCCATTGGGCATGAGCAGCAGTGCGTGTCCCTCCACACTGCGGCACAAACTCGCCAAATCCGCGCACACGCACAAACTCCACGCGATCGGCTGAACACGTGTGCAAAGACAAGAGACAGACCCGCACCTCTCCCCACAGTTGTACGGACTGTTGGGGGACAGGTGCTATTAACGGGCACCAATTAAATTTGGCACAGAGTATGAGGTGGTGGTGGTTTGGCCACCGCCATGTTCAGCTGCGGTTGTCTCCCCGTTACTGTTGTTCGCGCATTGCACCACGTACTAATTTAAGGCCAAGTCGACCTAGGAGGAGGGGGGGCCTTTGGACCGTTTCAGATAATCATCACTGACCTTTAGCCGTGGTTTGGAATCATACTCGGGTCACCGGGTTGTGCAGCACGTTGCACTTGTTATTAAGCAGCCACTCTGCACTGCGTGTGTGTGCGCACGTGCCCGGGTATGCGCACTCGGCGCCCGTTGTGTTTGCACGATCACCTTGCCGAGTTGGTTGGTTGTGGTCACTGAATTGTATTCGCGTATTTAAGTGCACTGGACTAATGTTCTCGTTTTTTGGTTGCTGTGTCGTAGCGATCGGTCCAGCTTGTTTGCCAAACTACCAAACGGACTTCGCAGTGGGAATGAACTGCTGGATCACAGGGTGGGGTGCCACAAAGGTCTCAGGTAACGTGGTTTCTTACCCTCGCGATGCCACCGTCACTTCCTTGTGCACTCGCGGGCATCGTGGTTAGTGCACTGTGCCAACAGGGACTCACGGGGGCCCACACGGGGTCCTCTGGACCCGGATAGCTGGGGCCCATGGGCCCCACGAAGCCAAGCAAGGCTGTGAAAGTCTTTTATGTTGAGGCCAGAGTCAAGGCCAGTCGAGGAATGATCCTCCAGGCTGAACATGGCTCATGATGATGACTTGTTTGTGTTACGGTGCGAGGGCATGTGCTGACCTGCATTTGCTTGGATATGTGTACTTTTGTGTGAAATGCAGGTACCGCATCGCCGACTCTTCAGGAAGTAATGGTGCCGATACTGAGCACCGAAACATGCAACGCCGTAAACTCTTACAATGGGCAGATCACGTCACGCATGGTGTGCGCCGGCTACATGGCAGGAGGCCAGGATGCATGCCAGGTAACGCACGAGCCACCAGAACGTTGTCCACCCCCATGGGTCGTCTACACATTCCACATGCACGCACATAAGCGGCCTACGGTACACGCACACGAGGAGAGTTGTACAAAAATGCGTCACGGCGGATTATCAGTATCATCCGCCATGGTAAAATTCACTGCTAGATGGACGCATTCCCACGCCAGCAACGTCTCTTGCAGTCCTGCGATGTAGTAATCCAAGCAGTACGCGCACATGAGCTGGATGTCCGCTCGGGCGTGAAATCCATTCCTCAGCGCTGCTTCTTGACCAATCGACCATAATCTCTTCTCACCGCTTGTCATGAACAGGCCCAATTATTACACCTTTTAACCTGTGCATTGTCTATAATTCAAATGTTACTCGTGTCTCTCGATGCATTTCCAAGTATGTGGTAGATTGTAGGCAATAAAGGTAACGAGACAAAAGTCTGCTTTACCACTGAAAACGAAACGTTGAATTCAGCCTAGGGGCGTTCCTGACTAATGTTTTGCAGAAGCATGTGTACCGGTTTAGACATTCTGAGCCCGCCTGCTGGGTTTGTGTGCCGAAATTATTAGGTTGGGATCCACGTAATCTATGGGGCCCGTTTAGCGTAAATGAGAACAGCAGTGGCAGAATCATCGGTAACATTTATGAGAGTTCAGAATCGGTGGTGGAGAGTCGTATACTCTGATGTTTGTCATCATCATCAGCTATGATCTATCAACAATGAAATTACAGTAACACCCCGATTTACGTCCTCCTGCTTAACGTACTCAACTTAGTGAAACCAAATCCCATTTTATGTACTGTGGTACCTCGCCATAGCGCATTCGAGATTTACCAAATTAACCATTAAGCCCCACGTTTTTTACGTTCCCAGCAAACATTCAGGTGCCAGATGTCCAGAAACTCCCAAGCAAGCGTTGGCGTCCCTGACTGACTCTCGGTTATTTTACGTGTACTCTTTTAATATTTTTTCCCCCACATAGCGTATTTAATTACATTATTTCTTATGGGGAAAAATGCTTCGATTTAGCGACTTTTGATTTACGTTCTGGTTTTCTGGAATGCATCCTGGGCCTAAACCGGGGTATGTCTGTTCCTCTAGCACGAGCCGATTTCATTGCTCGATGTCAATGGTTGACATTCCACTCCGTCGACTCGGATGTTCTTGATCTCATTCGTGGTTTTTTCGAGTGTGGTCACTTGTACATAGACAAAGAAATTAAGCAGACTTGGGGCAAATGCTGTTATTGAGAACCTGTGAAGGCCGGCACGACACACGAGGGGCTGGGTTGCCAGCACCATGCCTGGCTGCCATTTAGCTTCCTCGTGGCGATGTTTACACACCGCACCAGGTACTCATTTGATGCGGAGTCGACCTGGGGTAGACCCCCAGGACCTGTTTAAAAAATTGTCACTGGTGTTGGCCGTGAGAAGGATTCAAACTCAGGTTGTCAGGTTCGTAATGCAGCGCGCTAGCCACTGCACTATCGCTCCCCACATAGAAAGTTAAAACTGGTCCAGAGTTTGCTGGCTTAAAACAAATGCAAAGAGCAGTGGTCCAAAAGGCCTTTAGACCTTCTTCTTCTTTAGTGCTGCCTAACGGCGTGTGCGACTTCACGATGATATTGGTCCCGGTCTAGCACGGCGTGTAGAGTTTGTGCTGTTAATTGTAGCCATGTTTTGATGTTACTGAGCCATGTCGTTTTTGGCCGTCCTGGTCGTTTTTTCCCTTCGATTTTTCCTTCCAGGATTTGCTTTAATAGCTGGTATTTGTGGTCGTTTCGGGCAATGTGGCCTAGGTAGTAACACTTCCTGCTAATGATGGTCTTCAGCAGTTGCCTGTCAGTGCCCATATCTTGCAGAACTTGTGTATTGGTGGTTTTGGCTGTCCATGGGATTTTCAGCATTCTTCGATACAGCCACATCTCGAAAGCTTCGAGCCTTTTTGTTGCTGTTGTTGTCAGTGTCCACGTCTCTACTCCGTACAGCAAAATTGACCAGATGTAGCCTTTCAGTGTGCGCAGTTTCAGTGATGTACTCAAGTTGCGGTCTGCAAGGAGTGTTTTCCATTTAATAAATGCTTGCCTCGCTTGTTCAATTCTGCTCTTGATTTCGACTTTAGACCTATAAACCCAAATTATATTTTGATGTTGTAATATATTTTAATTAACTGCACCGGTGTAATACCATGTGTTATGTATACTGTGTGTGCTGCAGGGAGACAGTGGAGGCCCTCTGGTATGCAAAACCGGTACCAGCTGGTTTGTTGCCGGGGCCACCAGCTTTGGGGAGGGATGCGCACTGACCAATTTCCCTGGAGTGTATTCCCGCGTCACGGCGTACCTCGACTGGATACACGGAACAATGCAGGCAAGGCACACGGTTCACCCAGCACATCGCTGCACCATGATGCACGCATCCCACTCGTGCTCAATGACTCTGCACCCCACACCGCATGGCACGCAATGCCACCATTCGTGAAGACGCCATGGAGAGCTGTCAAACGTCACAACGCGGCACAACACAACCTGCCTACTACATGACACGCATGTCATGCCACGTGTTAGGTGTTTGGCTACTGTGTACATGACGTGTGCAAATGTGTACATTTTTTTAACATACATGCTTTGCATGTGTACTGCATCGAGTTTATAGTTTATATTAAAACCCTACAGTGGGATAGATGTAAAAAAAATACTCGACACATTAGTCAATAACACTATGGCCTTAAAAGGCACAATAGGTAATTGGTGACATTTCTGGAAATGTTACCAAATAATTTGGATCGAGAGACACATTTATATACCATAGCAGTTCACCAGTGGCTTGGTCTGGGGCTGTAATCATTCCCTTTGTATGGTCGATGCCTCATTGCACGTGTGTGTGTGTGTGTACAGTGTACGTTGTGCTAGTATTTGAATACACGTATAACAATTGTTCCTGTTATACTTTCAGGATGGTAACTGATTCTACAAACGGCAAGAGGAGGAGGGGACTTCACATCCCGTCGCCTCGTCAGGCCTCGCCCGTTCAGTGCTGGGATCACTTTGCCTGGCCACGTTATTCTTCACCTGCTTGAATCCTGCTTTGGTCCTGCCTGCCACGTTTTTCCTCGCCTTATCTCGCCTTGCCTTGCCTTGCCTTATCTCTCTCATGCCTTGCCGTACTGGGACTTGCCTCTGACCCAGTGGCATTGCACGATTGGCATGAGCCCTTTGCAAAAATTAAATGGGGCTCCCTGCTCAATTGGCGCCCCTCCTTTGTCGCTCGGCATCTGGGCCTCTCCAGTCCCACGGAACCCCGGTTCAGTTGCAAAGCCGTTTGCATGCTACTCGATAGCTATGCCACTGCTCTGACACAGCATGTGCTTATAGACGTGCGTTCGTGTGTGTGCGCGCATACGGACCCGTCTCCATTATTCCTACTCGTGCTATACAGTTATCAAGTGTGCGTTTTTTGCGCCAGATGTTTGTTTTGGGACGAAACTTAACTCCGTTGCAGGAGCTATAAACGTTAGGTGCACACCTGCATATGCAGCACCGTCGCAACAAGCCTGGTCAGCGCCAGTCGCATCGATGTGTCTGTGCACCTGAGCCGGACGCAGGACGGCCGTGCCCTTCACCACAAAATGAAGAAGCTGGAGCTACCCCAATATTTTAGTAGCTTGCAATTCAGAAAGTCGCAATACGAGCGATGTTCAAAAACGTGTTTTATTTAAATAAAAAACACACTTAATGATTTACACTTTTTATTTTTTTATTTTACAAGAGTAATACTTCATTGTATTTTGAGTGCTGCAGTCAACAGAACGGTTGTTTCCTCGGCGTGGAGTCAAATGTTGAGACCCCGTCTCTTCTGACCCATCTGGTTTTGCTCAGGACATGGTCATGCCGTTTAAAATGGTTTGGGCCATAGACTAAAAAGTTGTCGCAAAGTTTTAATCTGCCTGTGATCCTGACCTGAACTGCATAAACACACGTTCTTATAAGATTGTTTTTTTACGTTATACGATTCTGCTGAAACGCATCCACGTGTGTGTAAGGGTTTTATATTCCGTCGCTGCTGTTACACGGCGCACTGACCATGGATAGTTTTTGTAGCTTCAAGGTGCAACTGCTTGACATGTGGGTGTCGCTGTGCAGGCCGTGACAATACAAACAGGACTAAAAATCGTCTTTAACATCGCATAACTTCTAGCAAGCTGCAGGCAACACAAATGTCAAAAATAATCCATGACATAATTGTGCTTATTGGAGCAGAAGTCAAACTAATGGAATAATTTCATCATTTTGTATGATTGTCAATCTTGAAAAAAACGTATATATTTAGTCTACATTCATTAAAATTTTTATGATTTTAATTGACTAATGAGTCACGCTTTTTTGTGAGTGGCGTACTTGGTTTTAGTGACTACAAATCGCCAATCTGTAAAGCCCGTGGGTTTAGGACCAATGTTTTATCGGCATCGTTTCCTGATTCACAAAGAATTAGGCCAGACGACCACCGAGTTTCCCGATCAAGAAAAAACTAATCCGGGAGTGATCGCAAATAATGCTTGTTTTTAATATCTTAAACATGACACTGGCTGCATAACTCAAACATGTTGCGCTGCTTTGGCACCGTATGTTGGTTGACGTTTTAAATAACGGATTAAAATACAAACGGATGAATCTAAAGTCATGTGAAGTCACTTATTAGACTGACGCGCAATGTATTTCAAACGTCGACAGTAGTACTGCGCTGTAGTTGAACAGCATGGCCCTTTTGTCAATCCGCTGCTGGACGAGGGGCCCCTCCCTCAAGCCGTGCGGGTAGTGGGGAGTTATTTAACCATACTTCAACCATGGTGGTCGATCGCCCATTCGATGCGTCTATGGAACTTCACCAATTTCAGGCCGCGCCAGTCAATTGTTCGTGAAAACCGGTGCAATTAGCCAAATGTATCACATGCTTAGCCCATGTTTTTGCCAAAATATCGGTAGATATTCTTTCTCAGACTTAATGATAATTGAACTTGAACTAGCAATCCTCTGCTCCGTGATGACAAGTTATCCTTTCCCCGCACCTCCGAATTGGCACGGTTGGCCACGTACGATGCGAAAGAAGTCCCAACAAACATACTTACTTGCATACAAGAGCATTATGAAAACACCAATGCTCAACCCATGTTGTTCTTCGTGTTCAGCTTGTTCTGGCTGTGCAGCTGATGAAGGCTGCCTCATTCACGGTCTCGAGCAGTCGCAGAATGTCGTGTATGGTGCAGCATATCGTACGCAAACAACTAAGGGAATACTTAGTATGATGATGGGTGCTTTGTTATTTACTGCCTGATATGATTACACTCATGGTTTAGTTTAAAATTATAAATTGTGCAGAGCTTTAGGCTGCTGCCGATTACTCTTACAGTTTAATTAGGATGAAGGAAATTTTAATATAAGTATGCGTTTATTATTTTCTCTTGCCAAGTGTGAAAAAATTAACTCGATGAATTTGGCTGGTGGGCCGATTTTTACTTAGAACATTTTATACAATGTCATTTGCATTGCTGATTATTGATGCTTTTCTACATAAGGGATGTGTGAAAGTTACACCCTGGTGTTGTCGCTCAAGTTGGGTGCGAGTGACCATTCCGTTCGGTGTGTTTTTTTATTTGAAGCTTCCTCAAGGGTGGCACGTGGCCCATGGAATGAAACGAAGTGGACATTTTAACATTTAGAGTGGAAACTCGTCACCGCCGTTGCCATCATGGCAGCGGCGGGAGGTGACGTCACGTCAACAGCGAATGACTACCGCTCGTGCAATTATAAAACGGATTGTATCTTTCTGTTATGGTTGACGCCCGTAATGTTTATTATATTTTACTCTGCCGTGTGAGAACTACGCGTGTTAACGAGCTGTCGTCTCCACGAACGCGAAATCGTTATGACGCGCGTGGAACCTCGTGGTGCCGGCGTCGTGCACGTGAGAATCGATCCACGTCGCCTTGATGCCGCACGTAATGCTGGCTTTTGTGACAAATGTGCTTCTGAAAATCCTGCAAGCTTCTGCGGATTGCACGCGGCCCCGCACACGACATCGATACAAGCCTTGAATCGTGACTGCAAATAGTGGCAATCGAATTGTGTGGACGGGCAGCATCATCATAATCCCCAATGCTGATAACGATGCAAACGCCAACACGTGGGATTCTGTGTGTTCCCATTGGTGACAACTGAAGTTTTTTCTAAGGGAGTTGCCACTCTCCCCAGGTTGGTAACCAAGTCTGACACGACTTCCCACATACATGTGTAGTGACGACAGGGACGGTTGAACTTGAGGCAACACCCGTGTATTAACTCTTACGTAGGTCCAGCATATAACTGAAGTAAGCAGTAAGCACCCCCAGGCGAGCTCCCCCCACCCGTCCTCTCAAGGAGACGACATGATCTGGCCCTGGCTAGGCACAGATCCCGACTACCAGCCACACGAAGTCGGCCCTCACAAGGACATCGACCTTTCTCGGCTCTGGAGTCGCACTGCTGGCTTGCTCTGGCCGCCGGCCCTTCGAAGGACAGCGACCAGAGGAGATCCAGGGACTAGCTAGCTGGCCTTCGATCTTCACCGCTTCTTCAGCTTGACCCGTTTCCAACGTCTGCCTTGAGCTCTCTGGCTCCTCCGCCTTTTATATCCACTTGTCGTTGAGGGGCGGGGCTGTGTGGGATCACAGCATCCCCCCACAGCCCCCCGGTAACACCGAGATATCAACTACCTCGTATACAGAAGGTCGTGGGTAATATTCCCACCCTGACGCCTGTATATTTGGAGTGTGCATGTTCTCCCCGTGGTCGTGTGGAGTTTCCTCCGTGTTCACCGGATTTCTCCCTCCACATATAAAAACATGCTTGAGTATTTGGCTGCTTTACAATTCCCACATTAGAAGCCACTATGTTGAGCTATGATTTGTGGGCAGGTCGCTTCTGAAAGAAGAGCTTTAATAGCTGAGTGGGCCTTGCCTGATAAGACAAACAACACTATTTTTTTCATATTCACTTGGGTTGGGCTTTCGCTGTCCATTCCAATCCCTGCTGCTTCAGCTTTGAGTTGTGTAGGTCATGGGTTAGGTTGTCGGGGCTTCATTCAGGGGTTACTCTCGGGGTAAGAGGTTTAAGGGTTAGGGACGGGGCCGCCTCAGCCCGCTTTGCTCGCTGCATATCGACGGGGACAAGTAGTCTCAGCCATTTTGTTTTATGTCGTCCATGTTGAACTTCTTCAGCACCGCACGTGCCCATCGGAGGTGTTCCATCAGTATTGGGTAGTCGGAGGTGCAGGGGTTGGGGGGGAAACAAACTAAATACAAAAGGCAGTTTTCAATAAGCGAGTTTACTCATCTAGGTCAGGGGTCGTCGACCTGCGCGGCTCCGAAATCGGCATGCGGCTGTTTGCCGACCGCTTTGTGACGTCATGCACGTTTGTATCCACAAGCTGCTCTTGAAATATTGAGATTTTTTTTTACCGAATAAAAAAAAATGTGCAATTGTTATTTTGGTTGCGCCCCCCCCACCCCGACCCCTTGTCGAGATTTAAAAGTTCACAGCTCCAAGTGGATTCCTGATATCGGTAGGAAAAGAATTCCAGGCCGGTCGCTCATCGGCTTCGCGGTTCGGCTAAATGCGAGCTCGATAAGCAACGATGTCAATGAAATCGATGGACGCCAATAGAAAGTTGTACGAATCAAGTTGGGTGTGACGACCCCAGCGCGTGTATGCCAGTATAATGGCAAAGATCCCCCGTATAGCCTGAATAGACGGTTGGGGCAAGTGCTGTTTAGTGAGCACCTTTTGAAGGCCAGCACAGCACACGAGGGCGGTGGTTGGACAACACCACGCCAGGCCGCCTTTGTCTCCCCAGTGGCCATGTTTACACACCGCACCAGGTACCCATTTGAGGCCGAGTCGACCCAGGGGAAGTCCATGTCCGGTTCAGATAATCGTCACTGGTGTTGGCCATGAGCGGGAATAGAACTCGGGTCGCCAGGTTCATAGCGCAGCGCGCTAACCGCTACACCACCACTCCTCCCCACAGCATGATAAGCTCACACACGCACACGCACGTGCGTCTTGACGTTTGCACGAGCCCCCCACTCCGCAGCGTTGTATTTCAACCCCGATCCTGTGGCAGTCGGGATTCGTTCACGCGCATGTAAATGCCCTCTGTGCTTTTAAATGCTCAGTTGAAAAACGATTATTGCTCATTATTATTAAAGGAACGATTTAAACCCGGCCGTGAAGCCTGTCGTAATTAAGAGTGCTCAGAGTGGATAGCGATTGCAAAGTGCCTCGTGAGGCCTGGGGCTGGCGGGGTCCAGCTCCCGACCAGGTCGAAGTGAAGATTGGCGGCCTCCTCTTCAGCCACCGGTGTCTGTTGCCTGCAGCTCGGCACACAACCACGTGGCTGTTGCCTGCAGCTCGGCACACAACCACGTGTCTGTTGCCTGCAGCTCGGCACACAACCACGTGTCTGTTGCCTGCAGCTCGGAACACAACCACGTGGCTGTTGCCTGCAGCTCGGCACACAACCACGTGGCTGTTGCCTGCAGCTCGGAACACAACCACGTGTCTGTTGCCTGCAGCTCAGCTCACAACCACGTGGCTGTTGCCTGCAGCTCGGCTCACAACGAGAAAGTGGCGACGTCGCATTTTATCTAAGAGCAACACGACACGGCAGATACATGTTCGCAGAACTGCTGCTGCTGCTTAAAGTCTCTTCAACCGGCGTCTTGCCCACATTACCACCGTACCTGGTGCATGCTGATGTTACTCCACACGCACGCCTCTTGTTAACCCATTGAGCGATGACGTCCTTGCTGTGTGGGTCATGGAGGGTGATTCGCTGAGTTGGGGTTTGTGAAGGCGCTGAGTCATCGGCGTTAGTAGAGGACAGACCGGAGGGCATCATCACCCTCGGCATGTACCTGACACTGGACAAACGCGTGACTGTGGTGGCAGAGCACACACGAGACGAAGACCATATTGTTTTAGGCGAAAATATCACCCAAGCGGAGTGAATTGATCACACCATCATATCGCCGGCACCCTTCTTCTTCTTGTTCGTCCATCAAAGTTGATGATGACCATGGCACGTTTGTCATTTTGTTGGGTTTTGATGAGTGCGCAGATGGCTGAAGAGTCCAATCCGAGCCCGGAATTCCCTGTGGCACACTGGACACGTCAGGGAGGATGTAGAGCTCTGAGGTGCAGCCACACGTCCTTCCTTGGTAGATTTGCGCTGCTGCCTCTTCAAGATGGCACAGGAGCGTCTCCTACTCTCACAGAGCACTGCACCGTCCTGTACTTTTCTTCTCCAGGCAGGTCGGTCCTGTGCTAGG